TACACAGTTCAAAATTAAAGGCTCAAATGCTGTACATGAGAGGTTAAGCTCCCCCTGGCGGTTTTACAAGGCGACGCCGGATAGTTAGTCACGTGACACACGTGACACACGTGAAATGCGTGATACCGCGTGATACCGTGACACGCCCACCGGGGTATGCCGCGAAATACCTCACCCATTTTGAATGGCTGCATCTGTATTCTTAGAAAAGAAAAAAATGTGATAACTTTTTATGAAGTACAGAATATAAGCTTAATAATGTTAGAACAAGCACATTAACAACAGAACCCACTCTAAGTTACCAAGTTAAAGACTCTGATGCATAAAATATTTATGATGAAGGTGGAAGGTTGTGTACTTTTGTCCAACTGAGCAATCTTGCTTTTAAAAAATATACAGACTTTTTAATATCTAATGTTTAACATGCTGTAATACACAGTTTAAAATTATTAAAAGCCTAAACAGTATACAACTTAAATTCTTAATTGGAAAGATTGTCAGCAGTGACCAGGATTTGAAACGGACGTTTTCTGGCGACAGATCAAATCCTGTGCATGAGACGCTAACCTTTTTTTGCTCCACTTGGCAGTTTTACAAGGTACTATTATCCTAATTAAAAAAATATGTGATACGTTGTGGTATGAAGCTGTATGTTGCCCAATGTCCACCCTGTTTTAACGCAGTGTATCTTGCTCATTTTGAATGGCTGATCTGTATTTAGTCACGAAGACTTACAAATACCAAGAGATACATTCATTGAGTATACCATTCATTTATACCGTTTCTTTAGTGAGGTTTTTGATTACAACTTCTACACTAGATACTCAACAGCAAGAACATCACTCATATTAATTAAATTGACATCAACTGGGATTGAGGTAACAAGTGAATTCTCAAGCTGCAATGTAGAAGTTGAACACTCATGCAATTTATGTACATTCAGATCTCCCACGGACACAAAGGAACAGCAACCGGCTGTTGTTGCGTCCAATCGACGTCCTCTGGCCCGGTCTGGAGGTGTGGGAGAAGGAGTTAGAGATTCCTACTGCAACGCGCTGGCGGTGCCTCTCTGTGGACCTGGCTAGTGAGTCCTGGCTGAACTAGCAGAGTTTGTGGAAATGAAAAGTGACTGCAGGTCTGAGCAAGTCACACTCTTTAGACGGGAAGAAGACTGATTCATTCCAGATGTAGTGCTAGTCCTGAATACCGAGATTCAGCTGTCGACAGTTCCAACCAAAGTTCACTCATTGATCAGGCGAGCACTCACTGTGGGTTATCAGCGGTTCACGAGGCTTGCTGCTGGGCTAACCTCAGGAGGATCCTTTGGTTACTCGCGGGTGACCTCCGGTCTCGAATCTTAAACTGGCCATCATATGATTGTCCGAGCTGAGTCTGAGAACTTCCTGCAGGCATGCCCTCTGAGCCCTGTGCTGCCTCTTTTATCTGGAGGAACTGCGGTCGTTCATTGGTTGTAAGTTCTGCGTGAATTCAATGTGAGGTTACCCTGCTCTACCAGTTCCCGATTGGCTGATCAAGGTGGAGGATGGGTTAGAATGCTCTCTGAGCTTAGGGTTGTAAACAACTTGGGATGAGACTCTCCCTTGGAATCTCCCAAACAGAAAAGCGCCAGAGATGACCACTCATTAAGGTGGCTGGAGAATCTTAGCCCTGGGAGCTGTCAGAAAACTCTATCAGACAGAAAAACACCTTAAATCTGAACCACATGGAATGACCTTTCTGTGTCCAGCACCAAAGAGTTGAGGGAGACAGACTGGCAGGGGGGACAGCAAACTTAATTCCATCATTATTAATAAGTATTGCCGTTACATACCCCCCTTTTTAAAGGTCATGAGGTCCTGATACGTTGTTGTCTTTAGACCAAAACACAGGGTTATGTGATGTCCATTGTATTATTAAGGTATTAACATTCTATATCCACATTGTGTCTCGAGAATTCATGCAAAAACCAGCATTGTAAACAAACATTATAAATAACATCCGCTAGTACAGACAATAAGTCACACTCACATGAGAAACTAAGCATCAGTTTATCATAGTACCAGGAGCATGTATAAATAAAGTAGGAGACATCATCTCAGTCTAGTCTTGACACATCAGTAAGTTCACTGTCACTATCTGATACCTCTATAGTAGGCGAATATTTGGGAGAGGTTACTTCCTTTCTTTGACATGCTACCACTCCCTTTGACTCATTCACTCTACCCTGCAACGTCTTTATTTGAGAGTACAGCATCCAGAGTACACTGCAAGTCATGATCCAGCTACCCAGCAGCAACGTTAGAATAACAACGGTTCCTGTTTCCAGCCCCCCTCATGAACCATAAAAACTGTGTTGGGCACCTACCAGGGTGGTTTGGAGGTCTGTTCCATTAAAAGCAAACTCAACTACCTGTACCTCTTCAAGGCTTACTGTCTCTTGGATTTTACCATCCAATTCAACAGTGTGGCCCCTGAAGGCATCCACAACCTCAAGTTTGGTCTCATATCATTCTGGTTCTAGATGGTACAGTGTTAAGTCACCAAGATGCACTATGGCCTTCTCGGGAACTGTTTGATTTGGGCAGCTGCATTTTGGTAGCTGACCAGCCATTTACTTCCCACTTGCTCTCCATGGGTTTCATTAACCTCCCTCTTCTCATTATAGTAGCTTTACACCCTTCAGTGGTGGATCATTTAGACACAGCCAATGGATAGCTTATGTAGACATACCCATCTCAAGATATGGAATCGAATACCAACTTTGATCGTCTTCTGGATGCCCTACGAGCTGTGGGGTGGTTAACGTCACATGCTCCTCTACTGAGAAGAGTGGGATCAAGTGGGTTGGGATTTGTCCCACGGCTAGACTGGCTACAGTGGCACTAATCTCCCTAAACAGGTCTTACGTCTACATTCTGACCTTTTGCACACAAGCGTAAAATTTGAGATTTGCATTCTCTTTGCAACCCTTATAATTTCGTCCTGCGTGTCTATAATATGTGCGTCTAAGTCTCTCGTAATATTTGCAAGGGGACTCGGCCCTCTCGTGCTTAACGTGATGGTGAATAAACGCACCCTAGTCTTGGATCACCGCTCCTCAAAGTCATTACAGACCTCTTTTGTCTGCCTAACCACCTTCTGGCGTTCTGGTGCACCATGGCTGCCGTCACATCATCTAGGTGGATGCTGCACATTGGTGGTGGTGGTGGAAGGGAGTCCCCATTAACTGTAAAGCACTTTGAGTGGAGTGTCCAGAAATGCGTAATATAAAGTGTAAGCAATTATTATTATTATAACCATTCACTCATGTATGGCTCTGCTGGTAATTTCTCTCACCAGCAATGCTTTCTCCTGTTCCGTAGTGTCTGGCATAAACTGCAGTGTGTACCTGAGCTCATCGATGTAACTCCCGACATTGGCGATGTATTCTCTGACACGGTGGGCTCGAATCTCTCTATTTCCTTCGCTAGCGGTCTCAGCGAGTGGAGGTTTATTTTCTTAGCTCCTCCACTGATGGAGAGATGGCAGAGATCATGGTTGGGGGGCCTACGCATTAATTGACTCGCACTAGCGTCTCATTTGGGGCTCGGCGTTCTACCCCACAATGACCCAGTTACAGATCTTGGCCGGGAGAACTCTCTCAGGCAGAGCCCTTAGCTTGAGCGAGCACTCCGTACTACTTCACGGTAAGGAACGCATGCGCTGTAATTGCTGTGCTCCACGCAGGGCAGCATCCAGGTCCTGTCCAAGCAAGTCTTTATCCTCACCGACACGCAACAAGTCCTCATGTACTTTATGGTTACGTTCGTATAAATTCTCCAATTACCTTTCTTTTCCATGCAGGCTAGGCCTTCTCAGCGACAGCTTTCTCAACAGACAAGTCCTCTATTTTTGCTGAAACCTCTTGTTGGCTTTCACATTGATTATGTCTAACAACTCAACTCGCTCAGACCTATATCTCTCAAGTTTACCCTGAAGCTTTTGGAACTTCGATAACTCGAACAAAGTCAATTCAAGCTGTTTAGCGAGGTTTAAAGTGAAATTAGATACAATCTGCATTGCATTCACAGAACCTCCCACAATGAGCTGGTTTGTCAAAATTCTATTTCTCAATACTGTCTCAGTAGTCAGGATTGTCATTGCTAGAGAGAGAGCTTATGAGCAACTCTAATTCAGACGTCTTAACAGCCATCATTTTTCCTCAGGAAAAACTTTTAAGAGTATTACTTTTAAGTACGAAACCACAGTTCTACCACAGAGCACCACAATATCAAATACGCAACCAACACAATAGATCTCAAGAGGTCACAAAAATTAAGCACTGCACTATGGCTTAGAGAGCAAAGGGGAACTTTTTTTTCTCTCGGCTTTCAGCACACTCAGTATTGTCGTGCACAGAAGCTGCAGCGTTTTTTTTTTTTGCTGAATTACTCCACTTGATTGACTCAGTCCGCACACAGGGCCAACACAAATAAAGGAAGGGATAATGTTAATGTAAATGTTGGGCAACATTCAACTGCTGAACACTACTTTGTCTGCAATTTTTCTCATGTTCAGCGTTTTGTACTTGCTACGGTCAGAGGTCTCTCTCCAGTGCCCTCTGGAAGTGTTACTCTACTAGAGTATAATTATTCATCTTCGTCTCCCTGATGACTTTATATCTTTCACAGAAACCTTGATCTCCTGCTTTTATTTTTGCTTTACAGGTGTTGTATGTACTGTAACATGGACCCTATTTCTTTTCTGTAAAAGCTATCATATTAATACGATATATTGAATAATAATAAATACATAAATAGAAACGAATACCAATTTTATTGTGTGATTTAATATACATGATTTTGTATTTGGAGATGTTTCATTGCAAATTGAAATGAAACTTTATGTTCTTTGTTATTTTTACTTTTATAAAGGGAATATCATTGTGTTAATTTGCCAATAGGTGGTTGAAATCATAAATATATTCAAATGATAACATTGTTCAGCACTATTCCTGTTTTAGCATTATATTTATTAAATTGAATGAGCCACTGCATAATAGCTATAATTTCTAACTCCCACTTTAAACCACTTTTCTTCATAACTGCATTATAGAAGAATAAACTCTACTGCTTTTATAGATTAATACAATTAACATTCTACGATTTTTAGAGATATCTCTATGAATCTCTAAGAAATGTACAATATGAACCTCGAATATCCAAACAGACCCAATCAAAGCTGACACACATAATGCCATCAATCAAGAAATTTACTTCAGTGTTTTGGGTGTTTCTTAAATTATGTGTGGATGTAGAACTGTCGTTTCCTAAGCCTAGAAAATTAATAACACACACTAAAATATGAAGTATACAATCCCTTTGTAATGGTCTTCCAGACATTTTATTTGGAATTTAATTCACCAAATGAAAGACTAGTTGTAATATTGCAATGTCTATTGTTAAGACAAGCATATTTGACTTTAGAGATAATTCTGTGAATTAAATTGTTGGAAATAATAGTTAAATCATGTTTTATTGAAATACTGGGGGCAGTAGATTGAAATATGTATAGTCTGTACTGTAATTACTGTATATAGTTAAGTAATACTGTTAAGTTGTTTAACATACAGTACATGCATTTAATGAAGAAGACGATTATAACTTTAATTTTGTGAAGCTATTCAACATCACCCTTAATGTAAACCATGGTGCACAAATTCTATAACTCCCAAATCTAACTTGTGTTCAGTAATTCAGCAATAGCATGTGATTGTGATCATAATGTAGCTACATAGCTATGTGACCTCTATATATAGTTAGGTGATTACTGTTTGATTACTTTTGAGTTTCTTTTCAAAGGTTAAATAAAATTCTACTTAGATGAGCATCCTGCTTAGATCTAGTCTTTCTAGCTTAAAATTGTGAGCAAATCTTTCACTGGAGAAAATAAAAAAATGAGCAAACTGTAGAATAACACTGTTTTTTGTAATATCACTAAAAAATAGAGAATTGATATTTTCATTACAGATAAAAGAAAACTATGGTGAAGAAAGACTTGTTCTCTGAACTTTTAACTGACCCTGAACTTTTATGTTCAACCTCAGTTCTTTTTATAGCAGTGACTTTTCAAACAGTGCATGGAAAACACCTCTCTAATTTATTTTCCTTTGTTTATATCATAACTCTTCTGCCACATCTCCTTACTGTGTCTGGAAGAAGAACAAAACAACAACAACAATGTGAATAACAAACAATAACCCCATACCTCTCATTTTTTCCTAAGTTCTTGTCCATGCCAAGGAAGAAACCTTTCTACCTCCACAGACACAGATGACCCCAACAATGACTCCACCTGACCACAATCCAAATGAACAGAAAAGCAGAAAATAGAGCTTGAAGTCTGATGTTGAGTTTCTCACAGTGCAGTGTATGAAACACGACACTAGACCGATTTTTCTTTGACACAAATGTATAGAATTGAATGTAATTCATATGTGTGTGTGGGTGTGGGGTGGGGGGATAAGATGGAGAGATGGAGGAGTATATTTTTACAGATATATGCTCCATTGGACATTAGTCAGTTGCATGCATCTTTTTAAATTTATATCAATTATTCCTAGTATGGTATTTAAATTAGTTAAATTACTTAATACAGTCAGGTACAGTTGATAAACAGGTAGGTAGGTTACAAGCAGAATCATAGCTATTGGTGAAATATTCACAGACAACAGGGCAGACAGGTATGAAAGGAGATTGTATAGTACCCTCAAACATAATGAGATATTAGCAGCAAATAATTAGTGTGTGATACTGGGTATTTTTCTTTTTATGCTGATGGCGACAAAAGAGTCAGATAAGAGATATGCTTGTGGGGAGGGGCACTGACAAAAGCGTGGATGAGCTAGAACATGCTTATGACATGACTCAGACCTGACCTTGAAATGTTTGGGCTGTGTGCCAGAGGGTCTTGATAGACAAACAGATGCAATTAAAACTGTACGGGTTTTGAAAATGTTTTTATATCTATAATGGTCATGGTGATCCAAAAAACTGACAAATACCACCAGTTCTCATCAGATGTTAAATGTCTCTGCTATTCTGCTTAAATATGTTTTCTCCATGAAACAATCAATCAAAAAGCTTCTATAATAAGTACTAATATTTGCTTACACAGTCGTTAAGTACATTATACACAGAAACTGTTAAAGTTTATAAAGCGGTAAGTTCAGCAGTGTCATATTTTTTGGTATTTGATCTAGCTTGATAAACAAGCAATCTAGTATTGTGCACAGTGCCATATAATTAAATGAGTCATGTTTACCTCTCTGTGGAGCACAGGCAGAGCAACAGTACAGACTGCTGCCTAACACATTCCCAAGTTGATTGTGTTGATACAACATTTTCTTTATAAAAGGAACTAGTTTCTCACCAATCGTACTTGTATGCTTTGATGCACAGTCATTTACAATACTTAAACATGTTTTAATATTTTCTTTCTTTCATGCGAACCAAATAGGAAGTTACAAGAACACGGTGAGCATTAAATACAACATTATAGAGAACATCACAGAAAGCTCTATAGAATTATACTGTAGTGAGTATTAGTACCTTTGTTATTTCTTAGTGTTATATTTCTATTTATTCAGAAATGAATTGCATTTCTTTATTAAAAATAAACTTTACAGTTGAGGAACTTTTAAAGCTCAATTGTTTCTGTATGTGTACCCATAAAAAAAAATGCTTATGTTAAAGCACAAGATGTATATATTTTTCAACAAAACCCAAATGAAGACACAAGTGATGTTTGTTTCTTTTACCACAGTACTTCAGTTTCATCATCTTTTTATATGTGCTACTGGCATTTTTGGTGAGTAATGGATTTTTGTTTTTTAATTTATAAAATATTTTATGACCTGTAATTACATTTTGAAAAAGGTTATACCGAAATAATATTATATTAGTGTAGCGGCGAGGCTTAATAATAAGGCAGAATTAAGTGTTTCCCCTACATTAGTGTTTAAATTAATTGAAAGAATATACAATATCATTTAGAAAACATGCTGTATCTCTTAGTTATGTACTAATGAAAGTTACAGTAGATTTTCTATTTACTGTGCCCATAGAGAAGTCTAATTTTTGCAGGTTATTTTTGTTAAGGCTATTAGAAGTGGCAACAACAACAATAATAAAGAACAGAATACAGTTTTGTTTATATGTAATATATTGATTATAATGCACACAATACAATACTGATTATAATGTCAATGAAGTAATAATTTGCAGGAAAAGGTAATTGTTCTATTATGCAGTTACAGTATGTAACAATTTGTTAGAATGTATTTTTACTTCTGTTATATACAGTATCTATGGTGAACATTTTTTCAAATTATTTGAATTTCGTGTTTAGGACATTATAATTTGGCTTGTTATAGGAAATGAATTTGTTATATTCAAAGCTCAATAAATGGCAAAACCTTTTAACATGAGCTATAAAACATATTTGATTTATATTGTAATACAACAATTACTGACACTGTTATTGTTATGCGTGTGAATAACATCTGCAAAATGCACACCATAAATAATAATAATGTTTGTTTATTAGCCCTACACAATTTCTTGCATTAGGAATGCGTCTTTTCGCATACCCCAGCTTTTCTCTATGGAGACACAGACACAAAGACAGAGACAGGGAGAGAAGCTTGGGGTCAGAGCGCAGGGTCTGTCATTGTACGGCGCCCCTGGAGCAGTTAGGGTTAAGGGTTATTGTACAACAGCGTTGTTTTTAAAGAAAAGTTATGTTTAAGTTCTATTTCATTAATTTAAATGTCAATATTACAATTAATAAAATTTAAAATAAATACATTTAGAATTTAGTACACTGCAAAGCAGTGAAATCTAACTAAATCTTACATACAGTACACTTGGATCCTAATATTATACAGAACTACTGTAAAACTCCAAAGATACTATAGCTTCTCAGCCCATTAGAGCTTAATAAATAACTTAATCTTTATTATGTAGTGGATAATCAACATTTTGATTTAGATTAGTGTTTGTGTAGATTATTCTTAAATGACTGGAAAGGACTTGATCCTTTGATTAACTACTAACTACCAAAAGCACTGGATAGGCGAAATGCTGTCCTCAAATTTGTAACTATACAGTATGTCCTTAAAACTTAATAGTTAGAAATCTCTTTCCTTACATAATAAATTAAATACATTTTGGGGTTTGAACTGTAATTTTGTGGTTGAAATTCCTTCTCACCTAAAAAAAGGTTGGACATTCATGCTATAGGCACATTTTCTTTGATTTATTTTAACAATTAATATGGTTATGACTTTTGTTATTACAGATAAAGAAGGACAGAGAGAAGAAAGTCTACCATGAGCACCTTAAATTCAGTGATGTCTGCAAATGCCACGCTTGTTCGGCCTCAGTTTTTTTATATTAATGGGTTTTCTGGCATTCCCCACGCACAGTACTACTATGTTTTCTTGTGTTTTGTTTATGCTGTAACAGTACTAGCAAATGCCTTCATTTTGTTCATCATATACATAGAGCAAAGTCTTCACACACCAAAGTATATGGCTGTTTTTAATTTGGCTGTAGTTGATATGTGTGGCAGCACAGCACTTATTCCTAAGATGATAGAAACCTTTGTCTTTGATTCTCAGTTCATCACATATGAAGCTTGTATAGCCAATATGTTTTTTGTACATTTCTTTTTTTTCCTAGAGTCACTTACTCTAGTTGTATTGGCCTATGACAGATTTGTTGCTATTTGCTTTCCCCTGAAATATCACATTGTCATCACTAATTCCCAAATGGCTGTGATTCTTGCTGTTGTATGGTTTCTCACATCAGGTCTAGTGATTACATGTGTGGGTTTCATTACCACACTCTCATTCTGTAAAACCATTGTGATTGACAGCTATTTTTGTGATCATGGACCTATGTATCGCATGGCCTGTAATAATAACTTCCCAAGTTACATAATGGCAAAAATTGCTATCACAGTTTTGCTTTTTGCACCACTTGTTCTAATTCTGTTATCTTATGTTTGCATTAT